TATAGAAACCGTATTTAGGTGGCTCTTCTAATGCCTTGGTTTTGAAATCCCTAGATAATTTCTTTGTTTGAAAAGAATGAAGTTAAATAGTTATGCTGCATCTACAGGTTGAGCAGATTTGATTTTTTTGAACATCCTCTCACCGTTAATCTGCTCAAATCTTCATTGGGGATTTTAGTTCACTGAAAAAAAAAAAAAAAAAAAAAAAAAAAAAAAACCAACAGGCTAAGCTGAAAACATAGCATATAGCATAGCTACCTTGAGTAGCAGAGGAATTGAGATAAAAGATGTTAATGAATATCCCGGCATGGTCTTGCATCAACAAAACTAAAATCTAAAATTACTTGCTGCCAGATTCAATGCTTTAATGTCTGTGATTTCTTAAAATCCAATTTCAACAGGGATAAAATCTAAGTCAGTTTCATTTGCCTCACTGTGAATATAAAAAAATTAAAAATAAAAAATATTAAAAAAAAGAAGAAAAAAAGAGATTTTTTTTTTTCCACTAGGGTAGAGTAAAAAAATGTTAGCTGTTTTCTTAGAAAGTAATTTCAGTTCAGAGCCATGGAAAGATATTAAAAGGAGCTCCTACAAATGGAGTGGGTGTTTTACAAGCCTACATGAAGATAAAATCATCTGCACTGGCACAAAGTCACACTGTTGAGCTTTAAGCATCTTACTTGTGTGACTGAACTAGGGCTTTAGGTTTCATTTTTAATCTGCAGTGTCCTTGAAATGGAGCCAGAGCTCTCTGAGGCTCTGTCAAGACTTCAGGATTGTCCCCATCCTTGGTCGTACAGCTTCAGTGACCACCTCTGAAGCCTGCCATGGCTCCTGCCTAGCGAGTAAAGCATTCTCTGACTTTCTTTCCATGGAAAAGGTGGTGGAAAGTGGCCTTTGATGCTCCAGAATCCCTGTGAAAGAACTTGGCTGGAGGACACTGCTGCATCCTGCCCCGAGGAAGTGCTGGGAGGTCTCAGCTTTACCCCTTAGGGCCACCACTGGCTCCCTAAAGAGGCTGTGCCTCTAATTTGGGCACTTCTTTTGGCTGGCTGATAAACTAGAGCCGGATATATAAACACGACATCATGAAGGCTGGTTTTGCTGCTGGGCAGGGAGGCAAAGGCACGTGTTTGGCACCTCATTATCAGTATCTGACAGAGTGCCTACTCGGTGGCAAAAGTTAGGACATGACAGAGGTTGTGCTCCCCTTTCCCCCCACGGTCCCTGCTATAATCAATGTTGCATTAATGAAGTTACAAACAGTGACTTTTGCTTTGGGGGTGGATTTTCCCAAGGCATCAGCATACAAATGCTATCTCAGGGACACTTCTGGCAGAGAGGAGTAGAGAACCCGGTGTTTCTAACAAGTATTCAAAAGAGCCAAAAGCTCAGTCTTACTGGGTTACCTAAATAGGAAAGCAGATCATTTGACTATCCAGCCACAAGTCCTTGTGTTGAACTCTCCTTCTGAGAGAAAAACTTGGGGTGGGGAGGAATTTGTCTATTATTGTCCAAAACAAATAATTTCAGAAACAGCAACAAGCAATGGATCTATGTTAGATTTTATTTTTTTATTTTTATTTTTTTATTTAGTTAGAGTAAGTGAAATACATCAGAGACTCAATTTTGGCAATGAAGGTAAACCTGAAAAAAAAATCATCATAAATTTTTCAAATGCCTGTTTCTTATGAGGAGAAAGATGACAGAAAAGCGATTTGGTTCACAGTGTTGCTGAAAGAAACTGGTGGGTGCCTCTAAATATCATAGACTCATTGGGTCTCTTAATGCAAATTGAAAAGGCTGACTTGACTTTTCATGAAGATGCCAAAATGTTCGGTCATTACCCAAAAAAGGCAGGGGGATGCATCTGCAATTCTAATTGGTAAATCGGGTAAAGAATTCACCTAAGAAAGTGGCATATAAAAAGAGAAATCACTGTTTCTCTTCAGTTACTGAAAAACAGTCTGAGAAAATATTTTTTCCAGCACTTATGTAATGTCTCAGCATTACTTATTTGTTTACTTAAATACTTTTCAGCTGCCTTCAAGGAAGTGTAGGTGACTGAGAAATTACTTTGGGCTGCTTCTCTGGTGCACTGTGCGGTGGACCCGCAGCCTTGGCAAGGCGATGCTGCGGTCGGGCGGGCAGCACTGGTGGCTCCATCCCATCTTGGCTGCACAGGGAGGGAGCCAGCCCCCAGCCCAGGCAGTGGGATGCTTTGGGAGGCAGAGATTTGTGACTGGCACAGGACAGCAAAACCCTGAGTCTTGTGAGGAAGGCAGAGACCATCGGGTCCCCTCCCCAACAGTGCCTCGGGACAACCTCAAATAAAATTCTCTCTCTTTCCCAAATTGTCATTGTAACAGATGGGAATTGATCTTAAAAGGCAATAAGGATACTGAAATCCCATTGATTCTGTGCAACAAGAGGTATAAATGCTGGTTATGATCAAAAGCCTAACTTTTATTCCTCTGTCTGAATTGTTCAAAATGATATTGTTTTTTAGCTTCCCACCTGTGGTCTGGAAAATAACCTGTTTTCCTCCTGTGAGGATGGAAGTTCATCTCTTCATACCATGGTGCTCTTTCAGCTATCTAAAGAAACAATATGTAACAGAAACTATTCTCACACGCTCATTTTTTGCCACCCCCACAATTTATTCTCAGCTCTCTCATGTTCTTATACCTCATGCAAATGTCTAAGTGAACTTTAAGTACAACCTCTTTCCTGTTGCTACTCCCTGCATGGTCCACGGATAAGAGCTTTTCCTTATCTGTATTTGTTCACATGCACACTGCAGGAATTTCAGAAGTGAAATATTTTTTTTTTCAGACCTGCCCAGCTGAGAGTTAAACCACAGCCCAGGGCAGCTGACTGGTGAGCACAACAGTCCAGGAAAAGCACGCTCAGACTAGCCAGCTCAGCCTCTGCTGAATATATGCTGAGGATACTTCAAAAGGATTTCAGAAAAGTCAGGACAAAGTCCTCAAGTTAAATAAATATTTCCTTACCAAATTATTAAGGATATTTTATATCCTTAAACCTGAAAGACTGCTAAACTAACTATAATTTGAGGAATACATGCACTTGTTTATTATTAAAATATTCATCAGGTAGGAAGCTAAACTAAATTCATCGGTTCATGTTTATTTCTATCCAGTCACACTTTCTGGTTTTCTTTAATCAGCACAGACGTTTAGTATTTGTATATCACTGCCTTAGAGTAATCGTTAAACTCAGTCAAACACCCAAAATATTACTGGCCTCCACATTAAGTTCTGTAACTCACTTAATCAAAGTTAATTCCAAAAGCTTGTATCCAACTATATCCTTTAAATTCCTCCCATACAACATCACTGAGTGTATGTCAAACAAACAGCATAAATAATAAAAATAATCACTCAGTAGTTTGCCAGTGGGCTCTAGGGCTATAAAACTGACCTGCGATGAAATGGCAATGTTTAGAAAGTCTCTGTATAGCTGTGAGTTTGCCATGTGATTGACCTAAGATAGCTAACGGATTATAATTAGATGGATAAGAAACCCTAGAAAATAAAAATATTGTCAGAACCTAGAATTTAGCATTTTTCTGTGGCACACCACAGACTGGTGTGCCAGCAGCATACACATCTCCCCTGCGCTCAAGGTCGGGGATGAAAAAATGTTGTGCACTTGGCTTCTGCAGGTAGCCAAATACTTGGCATTATTTGTATTTAGGTTAACAAGAACAAGACTGGACTGTTGTGTATAAAAACGTGTCATGTAATGATCTCTTGTACCTTGAAGAGGTATTTTATAAAGGAAAGCAAAACAGAACAAAACAAAAAAATACAACAGAATCATTCTTCCCATTGTATCCTCCTAAAAGCTGAAAAGCATAAGTTTATTAGGCTTTCCCAAACCTCAGAGGAACTGTTCCAAATGCCTAAAAAGGTGAAGGATTAAATAAATGGTTTGTTCAAGTAATGGAAAAGATATTAAACTTCATAATGCATGCACATTTTTAAATAAAACAGAAGATACTGTGTTAAATCTGATTTAAAAAATCTATTAACTAGAAACATTAACTGTACTCATTAACTGTACTCGCATCTGTTTTGTGCCAGAGAAAAATAATATTTTCTCTGTGTAGCACTGTTAGGTAAAACAGTAACTATATAAATTTAAGATAGAAACTTAGTTATGCCAAGTTAATGGAAATTAGCATTATGAATGACAATTTAAGGAGGATTATAAGATGTATCACAGGTTTCAACCCGCTAAATATAGAAAAGCTGTACAAGCCATAAAAATTGCACAATGTACAATTTTCAGTTCCAGGAAGATTGTGTTTGCAATCCTTGACTACAAATGGAGCTGCTTTCTGATTGTTAAGATAGATCTTCTGGGGCTGTAATTAATATACACAATCCCAAGCTTTCCAAATGAGTCAGACATTTCAAAATATGATATGATACTGGGCTTAAAGTTCTGAGATTTTTAGAAAACTAGTCAGTGGTTGCCTTCCAAGTCTTGATCTGGGTTCTCAATTTCAAGGTACATTCCAGCACTGCAAGACATTTTAAAACTGGAAATAAAGAGCATTGTATAACCAACATAATTCTAGCAACAGGGCTTGTAAAAGATAGGCAAAATCCCAAACAATACTGAGGCATCCGATGTGGTCATTAGAGTCAGTGGTGCCTGCTGAAGGGTTCATCCTTACAATAATTCCTTAACTCGGGATGCTTATTATGAACTAAAAAATACGTTAAAAGGTTTCAGGGAAAATATTGTACATTCAGGATGTCCTTGCTAATCCTCAACAACCCCTAAGGGCTCTGACAGCCCTGCAATTCCAAGGAGCCTTTGAAAGGCAGCAGATGACATAAGTTATTTTGTTCACCTCCTGGAGCTGACATCTGCAGGAAACTCAAGAGTTGCTTTTCAGCCATGCTATTGCAACTGCAACTCCTAAATGTTGTGTTGGCTGGACAGCCCGTGGTGTGCAGCAGTACCTGTGTCGAGGGACGCTTCCAGAGCAGGGGCTTCGCTAGAATCTAGGTCCGGAGGGGGTAGGAGGGGGTCGAGGATGGAGCTGTCCCTGTGTCATCGCTCTGCTGCTCCCACCTGAGGCTGACTGGAGTCCCTGCTGCTCCCTGGAGAAAAGATAAAGCTCAGGGGCTGAAGACTTCCAGATTTAAAATGCCTTGAAAAAGTGTGTGTATATATATATATATATATATATATATATAAATTAAAGATTCCTTTTGACTTTATCTAGGTATCTCCACAGGCAGAGCACAGAATACACCAGGTGATGCACTTAAAGATATGATACAGAAATAGCAATCCAGGCAGTAAAACCTTACACTCCTGCTGCCTCCTCCTGAGCCAGTGCTACAAGTTGCAGCTTTCTGCTCTAATTTAGCAATCAATACCAAGTAAAACTCTCTTCCCAAAAGAGAGTAGCTGTAACAAGTGAAATAAAAAAAATGGGATGTAATATGCTGGGTTCCTCACTGAATAGATTAGCTCTGCAGAATATATGGAGTGCAATGCAATGTGATGATGAAATGACTGCAGAGATGTAAGCTCTCCTGCTTGTCCCATCCAGTAATCACACTGCACATAGTCCACAGACTCCCTTGTGTGACTCCCTTGGCTGGCCCAGCTGGGCAATCAGCAACACAGCAGGAGCTGCAGACCAGTTTCTTGCACAGCCTGCAAGGCAAATAAGGCTGGGGCCATGGTGACAATTCCAACAACCATGGAAGTCTGGAAGTATAGCCGACATAAGAGACTGACTGCTGTTTAAATCATTTATATAATTCTCCTAATAACAATGCAGACATATGGGGGGATTAACACTTAAGGAATAAAGCAGGACCACTATGGTGTCTAAGCTTAAGGCAGCTAGAACAGTGTATGGCACATTTCCCCATTATTTCTCAACAAACTGTATGTGAATTCTTGCAAAATAGTAAATATCAGCTTGGCATTTACAGATGGCTTTTGTCCCTGCTCTGCATTGACAGAACATGATTAACTGGATTATGAGCAATGTACGCATAGACACAGTAAAGATGTCTTAACCAGATGTAATCACAATTAAAGTGGTGCAAACCCCTTAAATTAAACCTGGTTTTATAGATTATTTCATTGACAAATATTTAAATTTTCATGAAAAATTGGTTTGGAAACTTCAGTCTTGAACAGCAAGTTCTAGAAGAAAGTAGAGCATTTATTTATTTAGTAATTTATTTATCACACAAAACATTTGCTACAAGCACAAGGACTTGTGTTATCTCACTGTTATACCCACAAGCTCTGAATCGCATTTGACATGGCAGTTTACAAAAGGCAATTTGTAGATAATGTGTATGAGGAACATGGGATTTACAGAAATTAATTTTTTGCCCTATGAAAAGATTGTCCTTCAGAAGAGTCCGTGAAAGTTTTTTAATTAATTTGAAAAATGAAGCAGCAAGATTATTGTCTTTAAAAGTTAGCATGCAAATATTTAGGGCTGATAGAAGAAAGTGAGCCATGTACTCATAATGAAGAGCCTAAAATTTAGTGCAATTCATGAATTATAAGAAATAAAGAACAGTTTTATGTTAATCAGCTCATGCTAATCTATTAAAATTACAAAAAAAAAAAAAGGTGGACCAAGGCATAAATTCTGACTTCATATTTGAAGAGTCTTGACTCTTCTGAGTTTACAAAGTCACTCCAGATTTTCATCAGCTTAAATGATTTTAAAACCTGACGTACTCAATGCAAAATAGTGGCTTGGTGCATGGTTTTCAAAAAAACTTGCTCACAGGAGATGTGGTTTAAAACCATACCCTTAAGAGTAATTTGCTTCCACAATATATTGTTTTAAAGTCATCTAAGTGTAGCAGCTATTCCTAAATCTTCCCAAGAGGAGATATTGCCATAGACTCCTAGAGCCACTCAGCCAGGACCATGTCCTGGTGGCTTTTGAATGTCCCCAAGGAGGAAGACTCCAAAACCTCTGTGAGCAACCTGTGCCCATGCTCCATCACCTGCACAGTGAAGAAGTGCTTCCTGATGTTCAGGAAGGATTTCACCCACGTTGACCATACAATCACACTAAAACCACTCCTAACCACCCACTGGGCTAACCAAAGCAGCAGCTTTGCTTGCAGACTTTGCGCCCTGGCATCTCTCACCCTATGAAAACATCCCACCTCTTCACAGCAGGATGCCTCTTGGGCTCCTCTGTCTCCTGTTTTTCCATGCCTGTTGCTGAGGGTGTTGATCCCATGCACCAACTGTATAAGCACATGACATCAAAATATCAGGTATGTAAACATCACAATTTAACTGAATAAATGTAAATTGGTTAATTTTTTTTGTTACTCTCAACGTAGTGATGTGAAGCTACTGATTCTCTATAAATCTGTTTTGGAGAAACTCTGCCTCAGCTCTCCCCTTTTACATATACATATATATCCCTTTCTCCCTGGTGGGAAGAAGCCATGGACTGGGAAACCAAATTCAGCAGGAGGAAAGCTGAAGTCTTCTTTGGCATTTGGACCAAAATACTCTAATGACAGCTTTGATGAAAATTCCCTTCTTACCACTGCCTGCTGGTGGTATTTTGCATCATATGGACACATGTATGAATTCTGTGGCTTTATTTTACCCTGTTAACTGTTAGAAATGTTCTCTACAACTTTATCTCCATTTAATTTATCATCAGGGCCCCAAGGGCCCAGGATCCCAGTCAGCATCAGGGCCATCACTTCCTGCCCCAGTAAGGCTGCAGCAGGGCCAGATCCAGCTCCCCACAGCCCCGCCATGCTCAGCCATGGGCCCAAATGATCCAGGCCCACTCATGGGTCCATGGCCTGTCCCCAACCCCAGGGAGGTGCCAGGAGCCCACCATTCCCAGCCCCTGGCCACCTGTGCAGTGCCCTGACATGTATTTTCTTCAGCATGTATTGAATTGCTCCTAACTATGGATGGGAATCCCCTTTGCTCTCACTTAAGAAATAGCTTGTGTTGTCAAGAGCATTTCATTTTCACTGATCTTTGTGCACATGTGTACCAGCTAAAAGTAGTCCTTCTCTTTTCCTATGGTCTATCATGACCCCCCCCCCTTTTTTTTTCTTTATAGGGCAGAGAAAAGCTAGAAGGAAATTAGTGTGCTAATTCCTTAAAAAAAGAAGGATTTCAGTACAAAAAATAAAATAAAAAAAAAATCCCTCTCATCTCCAAACTAAGAGGTATCCTACACACCAGTGACTATGGCCCCTGCTCTGGGAAGGCAGGTTCAGAACAATAGGGGAAAAGTTTCTGTACAAAGCTACCCATTAGACTTGATGAAACTATTTCTTCACTATGGATTAAAATAAAATAAATAAATAAATAAATAAATAAATAAATAAAACAGATAGCTGTCACAGCCCTTACAGCTGGGAGTTGTGAGTTTCCTGAAGATTTCCAAGAAGTGATCACACAAGAAACCAGGGGATACTGGATGTGATCAAATATCCTTTTCTCTACGGTCCTTGGAGGTGGTGGGATCAGTTGTCCCCACACTCTCTTTGCCTTACAGTGCCTGTCATCAGCAAGAACCCCACTCTGCAGCACTCACTCTAAGGAACCAGCTGAACTCTTCCATTGAAATTTCTTAAAGACATCATATGAATACAACTGTGGCTTTCCCCGGAAAGATTTATCACATTCTATACAGCATTCACAGGAATTTTCTGTTATTGTGAAACAATCTTTGAAAATCTCAGATCCTTTTCTTCTGTGATTGCTGTCACAAGTCTAATCACCTGCATACTGAGCTGGCTGAAACTCTCAACTAAATCATGATTTTCATCGATTTCCCAGCTTTTGATTAAACCCTAAAACATTTTATAATGCAATTTCAATCAACTGCTTAGATAAAAGCATTCCTTCTAATAAAGATCCCCTTAGAAGATTTCAAAACCTTTACTCAATCTCCTAAATATTTGGCACTGCACATCCTTGCAAGCCTGAAATTATTACTCTGTTTGCTATAGCTTCTTTTATTACGCTATTATACAAGACTGTTGTACTTTGTCATTTGTAGCACATTACCTCAGACTTGTTCAGGAACAAAGATGGACTTCTAGGGTGACTGAGGAAGAGGGAACCTATCATATGAGAAGAGATAATGAAGAGCTTGACTTGTTTAGCTTAGCAAAATAAGGGCTGTTAAGCGATCCAGTTGCTGTCTATAAATATATCAGTGAGGGAAACATCAGGGAGATGGAAGAGCCATTTAAACTACATGACAGTTTTGGCAAGGGAACCCAAAGGCACAGATTGGCTAGAATTTATTCTGTGCTACAAGGTAGAAACAGGTTCTCACCTGGAGCATTGAGATTTGGGAACAATTTTCCAGTTGCAGTAACAGCAGCAAAAATCCTAATGACACTTACAGTGAAACCTGATAAACTTCTGAAGGGGGTTTATAAAGTGTGATTTCTACAATATTAGGAGAATAAATGTGATAATCCATTATACCCTTTCTACTCCCATGTTCCTGAATAAAGCTGTACTATATAATACAGATTCTGTAACCTTTTAGCATGCACACTTCAGAACAAGATATTACAGCATATTCTATATGCTTCAAGCTATTTAAAACAACAACAACAAAATACCAAAAGCACAAAAAAAAAAAAAAAAAAAAAAGTTTAGTAAATGTCCTTGTTCAGGGTAGTGGAAAAACTTAAATAATTTTGTCTCCCAAAATGACAATAAATTCAATAGAATTTAAATGTTTTACAAAATAAACATCTTTTACATTCACTTCTCCATCACTGAAATTCCTAACATTATTGATAATTAGGGTTTTGTGTTTTTTTTTTGCCCTATTTAAGGTTTATTACAAATTTAATACAATATTTTATCCACAACTTTAAAACCTCTGTATCTGAACTTCAAGTGTTATTTCTGGTATTCTGCTCTAAGCTATAAATTAATTAAGGACAAGTACATTTTTGTGCTAATGCATTTTATGTTGGAGGGTATCCAAAAGATACAGCTAAAGGAACAGAATTATGATTGTTTCTCATTTACTTTGGTCATAGCATGGGTTGTACATGTGAGAGGAAAGATATTTTGTTAAAAGGAGAGCTGTCTGTTT